TTTCAAGGCTGAAATATATAATATCATAGTAAGCATTTAATATGGATATAATTCGAGTGGATTAGTTCTTTGCATCAAGATTTTGATAGCTCCTTGTATTCCTTACCCGTTTGCCAGGCAGCTCTAAACTGTCTTAGGAGTCCTGTGAGACAGCCTGGTGGCCAGCATCTCTATATAGGCAGGGCTTGAGACTGATCCCATTTTCTTTGCCTAGCACCTAGCTTATTTTTAGAATGCAATACGTGGTAATAAAAATAAAAAATTGAGGGCCGGCCAAGTGGTGCGTTGGTTAAGAGCTGGCTTAAGACACCAGCTCTGAGCAGCAGGGCCCCAGTTTGGATCCCACATGGGGGCCAGTGACATTGCCCTCTACAACTAAGATGGTGAACAACAGGTCGACCTGGAGCTGGGCTGCCGTGAGTCACCAGCGATGGTGTAGGCTGCAGCTCCTACTGCAGTGGGCTGCCGTAAGCTACCGTGTGTGGCTGGCAGCCAGCGTGAGTGGCTGGCAGCCGGTGTGAGCTGCCAAGAGCTGCTGTGAGCGACTGTCCAGAGGCCGGTGACAGATCTGCCTCAGCCGGGAAGAGTGCAATGATAATACCAACATGGGCCAGTGAAGCAACGTCCTCCACAACTAGACTGAAGAACAAAAGGACAGCAACTTGTCTGTTCCCCTCCCCCAATTCCCAAATTTAAAAATCTAAAATAAATAAATAAAATAGTGAACAACAGTACAGCCAAAGCAAAACAAATCACTAGGATGGGGGTCACACCAGAGCTTCTCTTATAGGGTGTCTGAGGTATGTCCTTGCCAGGCAATGAGAGATAAAATAAAATTACTCCAATTTTAGCTTTCTTTTGATTAAAAAATCCTGCAAGCTTTCAACAGAGTAGGCCAGCAGCTTCTCTTCATGAGTAAGTCAGAGAATAAAGCAGGCGCAGCTGGACTCTCCACTGACTGCTTTGCTCATCCTGGCATGTTGGCTGTGACACATGCTGAGCTTGTTCTCTCCACTCTACCTCCAGAAACATGGGCATCCTCCAGCTGTGTCCACAGTCCTCAGGTAGCATTAATCAACACCCCTCGGCTTCCAGAGCAACTTAGGATTTGTTGGCCCATGGGAGGAAGTCAGGGAGTCGCTGAAAGAAATCCCTGGTGGCACCCACACAAGGCTCATGGCATCTGCTGCAGTATATTTTCACATCCCATGTTCTGTTCTTCTGTCTCATAGCTCCACGGATGTGATACTGCTCAGGTCCCAGAATTTCCCAGATATAGGAACACAGGTTAATGCTCAACTAGTTCACAAAAGACTCCATGTGAAAACAAAATACTAGGGTATTTAACTGACAATGAGAAATGTAACCGTCCCCTAGACATCTCTGCTAGTGAAATCTCTATGAGAAGCTTAATGTTGACCTGAGAGTTGCTTGGCAAGCGTGAAAGCCTGGCAGGGGAGTTACCAGAATGAGTTGAATATTTAAAGGCCCCAGGTTATGTTATCCTGGGTCTACACCTCTTGCTGCCACCAAGATGGGCAAGGCAAATTCTTGAGCCAGAGCATTTTCTCCGCTGTGAATCTCCTGCCCTATAGATGACTTGTCGCTACTGGAAACCGTTGGATGACACTAGAAACATTTCCTCTGGCCCCTGGCACCTCCCCCCAGCACCCTTCAGTAGGCAGGCACTAAGAGAAGATAGTTAACCAGCAAACCCTTATAGCACAGAGACACAGAATGCCCTTATTCTAATTCTGCATTCACATTAGAAGTGACCATCTTTCTGAAATAAAATGCCAAGTAGTTTTTTTTTTATTCATCTAGTGAGAGAATAAAGGTGGTAGGTTAAAGTAAGCCAAAACAAAACGCAAACAAAAACAGGAGGGAGTGGGTGGGGGGTTGCAAATCCCATAGAAATCTCTTTCAGTGTCATTTAATTGCTTATTTACATAAAGAAGACTTGGTTTGTTTGTTTGTTTGTTTGTTTGTTTGTTTGTTTGTTTGTTTGTTTGTTTGTTTAAATAGATACTCCCAGGAGGTTTAAATCTGTCTAATTTTCATTTGAATAATGAATAATTTTTTGGTGAGGTCTAGTGCTTGATTTATAGAAAAGGATGATTAATAACTTTACATAAGAAAAAACAGACCTACAGAGCTAAAGACACATGTTGGTTACAGGCAGAGGCAAGTCTACATTGTTTTTCTTAAATCTCAGTCCAGAGTTTTTTGCACAATTAAGTACAGCTTATTTTTCTCCTATCACATCCAGTTGTTATGCACCAAATAAAGAAGAAAATGTGGGTTTGAGTGAAAGGGAAGGGGGAGGAGTGCTTTTTTGAGAATGAGACGTTGATAGGGGCAAGTGGACCTAAGTGGAGCCCTAATGGACGGTCATAGGGTGCAGAGAGGACCATGATAGACATCTCCATTTCTGGAATTTTTCTAGAACTGGTCGGCAGCTCTCATCCAAAGGTTTTGGTAGATTTTGTTCTATTATTTCATCTACATCAGCTTTGTAAAACACAAAACACTCATCATCAAGTGCATGAGGAAAAAGCAGAGCCATGGAAGAGGATGACCCAGGGATTCGGGTTAATGGGCACTTAGGAAAATGTACTGTAGAAGAAAGAAACGTTCAAACCTGTAGAGAAGTTTTATGAGTTTATTTGAACCAAACTGATAACAGTTGCCAGGAAGCAAAATCTCAACAGATTGAGAAAATGCCCTGGAGAATGGCTGTTTTACAGTTTATTTTATACATTAGAATCAAAGGAGGAGATGTAAGGGGAGCAGGAGTTACAGGAAATCCATTGGTGGTGGATTAAGAGGGTGGGAGAAAGCAAAGTGGGGAAATCCTGGGATTGGATAAAAAGTAAAATGGAGAGACACATGCTTCTTTTACATTGGTAGGCACAGGATAGTTAAGGATTGACAGTACAGCACATAGAGATGTTATTTGGGGAACAAGATAACAATGAGGGGTTCTGTGATCTCAAACTCTGGTGCTGTGGATGTGCCCTCAGGGGTCTGAAAAAGGAGATTACTCTGACATTTCAAAGGTATGTTATCTTAGATGCAGAAAGACAAAAGACAGAGTCACTTATGGTAAAGATTGACCTTTGTCAAGGAGACTACAGGCCTAGGACGTGACTACCTACCATGACTTGCTTTCAGTTGAAATTTTTATGTTCAGACCATCCTGTGTGGTTACTTTTAGTCTCTGAGTTTATAGGGTCCACCATGCAAGCCTCCCTGAGCTTGTCAGGTTTAGTGTGTGACCCCTTTTTCATCCACAGTAGCAATCTCATTTTGTTTCATTCTACATTTATTGAGCACCTGTGCTGAGATATGCACTGGCCCTAACCCAAAGGATACAATGATTAGTAGAACATGATCCCTTCCCCCCAAGAAGCCACAGTCCAATAGAGGAGACCTTCACTTAAGCAATTTATAGTACTTCCTATTATAACCAATGATAATAGGCACAGTGATAATATATAGAGAAACATAATTCTATTGAGAGTGGTCAAGAAACGCTTTCCAGATAAGGTGATTGATGAACTGGACTTTGAGCAAGGAATAGGACCATATAAATTAAAGAGAGAAAGAGAGAGAGAGAGAGAGAGAGAAAGAGAAGGAGAGGGAGAAAGTGCTGAGTCATCCAAACTTACCACCATATAACACAGGCTGTTGCTGGTAACGGTCTTATCTGGCTAAGTGGTTTTCTAAAATTGTCTCCACACTTTGAGTCTAAACTCCTTATCCTGGCATTTTTGAGCCTCCATTCATTCCCTAATTCATCATCATTTATTGAGCATCTACTACATACTAGAGAGAAAAGAGAAGTTAGAGGAAATATTTGTCCTGGAAGAACTCACAATATACTACAGTGAGTCTCAATCCTGGCTGCAGCTGAGAATCATGGGAGAGCTTTTAAAGTATGTGAGTGCCCAAGCTCCACTTCCAAGTGTACAGCTAATGTTGAAAACCACTGGTATAGTGAGACAAACATATATGAGCTGGTGATTAGGTGTAGTTTTATATGATGAAGGTCCCTAAGGGGCTATGGGATTAACAAGGTAGGCACCCAATCCAGCCTGAGGCTGGAGGAGGCCTCGTCCATGGCTTTACTGTGAAAAAGGACCTTGTTTGAGCTCAGTTGTGAAGGATCAGTAGAGTTAAATTAGGCAGAGGGTGTGGGGAAAATGTTCCGGGCATATTCCCATCCCCACTCATGACCACGGCCTTAAGCTATAACCCCATCCCACCACACCCCTGTCTTCCTGAGCCCAGTGCTGGATGGAGTCTAGCCACCTACTTGCCGTTCCTAACCATGCCATGCATTTCCCCTTTACTGCAATGTCACTCCTCTATTACTCCATAAAAAGCTTATTTATCCTTCAAGGTGTAGCTCTAGTTGTATCCCTGAACCAGAAAACTATAACCCCTGAGCCAAATCCCACCCACCACCTGTTTTTGTACATAAAGTTTTATTGAAACAGCCATGCTCATTTATTTAAGTATTGTCTATGCCTTCTTTCATGTTACAAAGGTGAATAAGGTAGAATTAGGTAGAGATGGTGTGGCCTCCAAAGCTGTGTGTCCTTGAGATAATTGCTGTATAACTCTCCCATGCTTCAATTTCCTTATGAGTAACATGGCGATAATGATAAAAGCTGCAACGTGGTTTTATAATGATTAAATGAGATGCTGCATATTTGGCGGATGCTGTGATATGCTACCCTGATCCCTCTTCAGAATGAGGGATTTATTTCCCCAGTTGTCAAAACATAGCACTCAGCTATCTGTCTTTGGCTGTGTTAGAAGAAAACGTCACCTCGGGTTTTAACTGTTTTCTGGAGTAGCCCTCATCTAATGACTTCTTATTCTTGGAGGTCTAAAGACCTGGTCTGTCTGAGGAGCCATCTCAGCACCAGAGCTCCCCATGGACCATGGAAATTCAGCCTTTTTCCTATGCGTAATTCTGCTTCCTTCTACAGGTGTTGATCCCAAGGGCACTCCTCAGGGTCTGCACCTGGTGACCCCGGCCCGTGACAGAAGTACCAGGACTGATCCACAAGCACAGACACTGAGATGGGACTTTGGAGTGGATCTCCATCCTCTGGCTGCCAATGAAAATGCTGTCACTGGTAGGTGGAACGCACATAACCCCAGAAGCTTTACAATTGTTAAGACTTCCCCCAGCTGTGACCTGGGATAAACTGTATACCTACAGGAGGGGATGTACTGGCTGGTGCGAGGTATCAGGCGTTTGAGAAGTAAGAGGCAGATAGTAATCCTAAGGACTGGGAATTGGCTGGCTGCTGTTAAGCGCCACTGATGCTTGGGAAAAGGTAGCAGAAAGCTGAGATTGATTAATCAGCAAATAAATGCTATGTGTGAAGGCCAGAGGGCCTGCCTGGAAACATACAAAGAGGCTCTCATGTCTTAAATTTGGAGGGGAAGGGGTTCAAATGTGAGGACCAAGGCCAGGATTTAACTGTAAGAGTAGCTGAGATAGGCCTGCTATGCTATGAGCTCCTGACACAAGGTCTGGAGACATCTGTGTTGATGTTCCCCCAAGAATCTTAAATCTCCAGATTACCCTGAACCCTCTGAGCCTGCACAAATGACCCATTACTCCTCTCTAGTAAGGGCTACATAAACGTGTGCACGCGCGCGCGCGCACACACACACACACACACACACACACACACACACACACACACACACCTCATACTTGAATTTAATGCAGAGGCCTCTCCCCTGCCAGACATTATGCACTTTCCTTGGGATTTCCCCCATCTCCCATCCCAACCACCAGGTCAATGACTGGGGTTAAGTCACAAAATAACCCTGCCGAGGACCTGCTGGGCCTGCTAAGGAACGAAGAGAACTGTACCTCCTCTAGTCCAATTTCAAGACTAGCCCACTAGGGGAATATGCATGGGGCTCGATTCTGAGGGTGCCCGACCAAGGTGGGTGGAAGATAAATTTGCAGGCAAGGGAGTTTCCCAATATGCTAGCCCTCTCCCACAATACAGGATGCAACCATGTCCTGGCAAGGACCCAAGAGAAGGTGTGAGCACGTGGTGGGATGACTCCTAGAGTCATGGAAAAAACAGTGACTCCTATTAAGTGAGGTAAGAATGACAGAATTGCTGTGACAGCTTTACACAACAGAGAGAGGAAAGAACATGTTTGGCACCTCTTTCCTCTTGTCCAATTTGATAGTAAATGACATGTGTCGCAATCTCAGTCTATTTATATTATTGCTGTATCATTCTGAAGATCTCCAAATCAACCAAGAGGAGGCAGATTAGTGTCAATAATACCTCCTCTAGAATGTTCCATAGGGACCCACTAGTCCAGACAGACCAAGAGACTTCCCAGGCCATTGATGGTTCTCCTGGACCTGCGTAGCTACAGTTCCTGGAGTCCCCTCATCTCCCTCCACCCATCCCCAGCCAGAATAGTACAGTACCTGACTTCATCTAGATTTGTGGCTCTGGCTTACATGATCCATTGTGTAGGGCAGCCCTGGACATTTGTACCTGACTAGAAGATGGGGCCCATCACGTCCAAGGACAAAGTGTAACCAAGGAAGAAAAGGAGGCAGCTGCATGATAATCTATTTCAGGAGAACTATGCTTTTCTGATAACAAGAAGTAATTTTTGTTTAGGTAGCAATCTCTGAGTGGTTTCTTTTTTTTCTTTTTTGGCCTCAATCTATATTATCTATTGATTTGCAGGTTCCAGTATTTCAGCTATTTTACACAAATTCTCTTCTCTTTTAAAAATCAGCAATGTAAATATTTTGGAATCTGCTTGGACATCCCTTATGTACATGAATGTTGTTTTTTGGGAACGTGGAGCTGAGAATGTTTGCTTTTAGATTAGCCAGTGACTTTCACCCATGTGGAATTATTCCCTAGTCATTTGTTTTAAAACTCCATGACCTTCCATCATCCTAATTTACCATGTTCACTCTGGTTACAATTTAAGGAGAATTAGGAAAGTTCCCTCATTTCTTCTTATACTGGCTTCCTAGCATTATCATCCCAAACCATGCTGGAAATTCCACTACAATCAAACACTGCCATACCTTTATGATTGGGGGTCAAAGTGGTCACTCTGTATAATACTATGATGCTTTAATACAAGATTCAAGTCATAGCTGGGGGAGTCTCTTGTGAAGCTAGTCCCCAATCCCAATATGTTGGAGTCTGAGCAATCACCAGAGTGTGTTAGCATCAAGTTTAATTCAATATTTAGCATTCTGGCCCTGTGGGTGACACATTGAAGCCCCCCTATATTTCTCCTTTAGTACATAAGAACCAATCAGATTCTCTTTATTCCTTGTCTAAAGAGTGGAAATCATTGGTATAAAGTGAAGCAGGAAAACCATGAAAATAATAAATGGAGAGGAAAGGGAAGGGGCTGGGCAAATAGGGATAAACTCTCGTTTGGGGCTGAAAGAGTTTGCTCAAATAAGAGTCCAAATAGGGTGATGAAAAGAGCCTTGAGCTAATTGCTGGACACCTGGGGATCTTAGAGAACCAGTGCTGTGCTCTTAGACATGGCATTCAATGTTTGTTTATCTCAATTCCCTCATCTGTAAAACGCCAAGTGCCATGCTTGCCCTGCTCACCTCTGGCTGATTTTGAGGCCCACATTTATATTTCTGAAGACTCCGTAAAACATACTGTGCTCTAGGGATGCACTTGGTTTTTATTAGGGGCTTGTATGTGTGCATCAGTGCTGCTCAAAATCTGGGAAAGAAGTTGGGTCCAAAAGAACACATAGAACTGAATTCATATTTGTGGGCTATGTCAAGAGTAGAGGAGCTTCCGCTTGACAATTTTGCCTGGCAGCTATGATTAAAGAGCTGAGGACATCCCCGCTGACAGACTCCTTTGGGGGAGCTGTGCTACTAGGAAAGAAGGTGGTCGCCCAGATCACCTGTGCCTGTGATGTGCCTTAACGTGGGTTTCTTGTTGGTACTTCCCTGTTGAGTGATACTTCCCTGAAACCACAAGATTCTACTGTTTGGGGAAGACAATGTCAGCTAAATAGAGAGTTTCTGCTCCACTTGTCTTAGTTTTAACATCAGTATTCACAATTAGCTAGTCATTGGCAAGATCGAACCATTTTTACATCCTTTTTAGAATACATACATTTTTACCTAAGAAAGAATTACTGTATGGTTCTGGACATCATAGTCTATTTTTCTTTTTTCTTTGAGTTTTCAATTTCAATCAACAAAAGTAACCACATGCTCAAATAATAAAAATAGCAGTAATATTTGAGTACCTTCTATATTCTAACTACTTTGCTAAGAATTGTATGTATATTATTTCACTGAAGTCTAATACTGAAACTGAGAGTGGGTATTTGTGTTTCTATTTTGAGAAAGTAAGATTTCAGATGAAGCCACAAACACAAACTTGCAGAGTCCTAAGTGGTAGGTCCTGGATTCAGAACCAGCTTTGTCTGATTTCAAACCTCAGGCCCTTAGTCACTTTGCTCTCATGTCTTCTGCCCTGAGGATGGTGTGCTGAGTACTGGGGTGGGAAGGATGAGTAAAGTAGTGCCCCTCCCCTCATCAAGCCCCACTTAATGTGTGGCTGAGCATTATAAAAGCTATTATTGAGAGGCTCACAAGACTGAAATGAAGATTACTATAACTTTTTCATAGAAACAATACATTTTTTACTATTTGAGGGGAAATGCCCCATTTTTAAGCCAGGAAAATGATAACACAATGTGTGGTAGATCTCAACGTCAGCCAGGCATCAGACAATTTTTATTTTATAAAACCTTTGAGAAGAGTTGTAGAAATATCATGTAAATGGCAGTGTAATATGGAGAATTTCAGAGCTGATTGAAGCCCTACATCAAAATGTATTGTCTAAGTATAGTCAAGGTCAAGCTGGAATGAGGCTCTAGAGCAGCGGTTCTCAACCTTCCTAACGCCGCGACCCCTTAATATAGTTCCTCATGTTGTGGTGACCCCCAACCATAAAATTATTTTCGTTGCTACTCTATAACTGTAATTTTGCTACTGTTATGAATCGTAATGTAAATATCTTTTTGTTTTCCAATGATCTTAGGTGACCCCTGTGAAAGGGTTGTTCTATCCCCAAAGGGGTCGCAACCCACAGGTTGAGAACCGTGGCTCTAGAGGCTCCGTCTTTGCCTGTGACCTATTCATCTCTTTTAACCATGCCTTAGCACATTGATTTGTTTACCACATAACAAATCTGTGACTTTGAGAAATAACTGACACATTGGATTACAAAATAACAAGGTGGTCATCATTAAGAATAATGTAAAGCTTTGCATTTAGGTTCAGGAAGTCAATTATATTTGTATAGGATTGATACTAATAACAGGCTACAAAATATTTAAAAATACAATATGTCTATATAACATGATACAGCTGCTAATGGATTAATAGAAGCTTTCTGTTCAGATTAGGGAAGATAAGTTTCAATGTATTCATCATTGGTTGTACTTTAAAAAAATATCACAACAGTTTCAGGTGTCTTCCTTTAAATGGGATATTAACCAGGCAGTGAGAGGCAACATTTTGGGAACCTACTATGAATTAGATTATGTGCTAGGTGTCATTCAAGTCTCACAACATCCCTGTGAAGCACTTTTAAAACAAATTGTAGCAACTGAACCTCAGAGAGGTTAATAAGCTGTTTGCAGCTTAAACTGAGATTTGATCTCAGATTGACGTAACTCCAAAGATCATATCCACACTATTACATCAGGTTCCCAGAGGGCATGAAAGGTAGATGTATTCTACCTGATGTAGGTAGAATAGAGGAGAAGTGAGTTAACATTGATAAGGCATCTGCTATTTTCTAGATGTTTTACATACATAGCCTCAATTAATACAGTAACTCAATGGAATAGGTATCATCACATCTGCATTTAATATAAGAAAACTGAAGTTTAAAGGGCTGAATAACTCACCTAAGACCACCTAATAAATGGTGGAATCAACATCAGGCTACTCATCTGTTTGATTCTATGACCATAGTTTGCTATTATTTCCCCAACTTCAGCTATCACGCATGGCACCCATATTGATTTTGCCTAGTCTGTATTGTAACTTAGTTTAAAAAAAATCTTACTT